TGCATATGTGCATATTAAGCCTTAATAATTAAGTCATTAATATTGTTAGGTGATACATAAATTAACATGTATAATTTCATATCCTGTTTTAATGTACAATATACACATGAGTGGAAGTTACGTGTGTAATTAGTAGTATTGTGGACCTCAGTCATGACCTTGCTAGACGCCGAAAATAGTCTATTATGTCTTGCATAAACCGCGCACGAGCGCTCCCTAGGTTCGACTTTGGCTGCTTTTACAAAAGTTGATACAATTTTTGGCATGACATCATATCATTAGGAAAATGTTGGCACAGCCTTGTGTCTCACGATGAAAGTCAACTACGCAGCGGAATCTCTTTTGATGATTCTTCATAAACATACATAAACATACCGGTAGCAAACATAGTAAACAATTTAAAACTAAAATGTATATATATATATATATATATATATATATATATATATATCGTTGACTCCTGTGGGGTCGTGAGTTCGAACCCCGCTGTGGACAATCTGGCATCGTTCAGCAGCAATGTATGTTTTTTACTTGAAAATGTAGATCAAAAATATATTTCCAGTTGAAAATAGAAAACACTGTTTTCAGCAGCAATGTATGTTTTTTACTTGAAAATATAGATCAAAAATATATTTCCAGTTGAAAATAGAAAATACTGTTTTTTATATACCACATTGTTTTTTAACTTACGTAAAGATACTTACATAAAATTACCCTAAATACCAAGAGATTCCATAATCTTTTGTACTATTATTATAATTATTAGTGAAACAAAGAATTTACCAAATAAATGTGAATTATTTTCTCAAAAAACTACAGTGGAAACAGATTTTGCTGTGAGTCCGAGGTACAATCTTCTTATATACCTTTTCGCAAATGAATGAAATAGTTTCTGTATTATTCTCTGTGATTGTGTTATTCTGTTCACTCACGCTCTTTTTACATAGAAATATACAAGCTTGGACTTTGACGATAACTTTAAAGTATTAATTAATTCAAAAAATATATCCCGAATTTCATAATCATAGTAAATAATATCGCCTGATAAGATGCAACGTATTTTAATTTTAATTAAATGGATCGTGTAGATTAAATATACACATCAGGTGCGAATAATTCGCAAGCTACAGTGCTGTAAAATGTAAAAATGTTTTCTGAAATAGCTTTTTATTGTGACTGCCTGATTCAAATCATATTAGAGAAGGCTAACGTATAATCCAATTCATTAAATTTTTATGATTATACTATTTATGAAGTATTTTTATCTATTCGATTGTCTGATGTTTTCATGTTGTTAAGTAATTTAATAATTACTTTTGAACTTGACGTTTTTTTGATTTTTCTTTTAAATATCAAGAGTGAAAATGAATATTTATCGTTATGTACCTTTGTTGCAGGTTATTTACTTTTTTGTTACCTTACAAAAATTATCAATGTGAGTTCAATTACATTATTCTCATATACCATTATATCATTCGTCTATAATAGTGTTTCTCAAACTTATTTCTTGCAACGCCCCCTTTGAAGATAAAAATTTCTGTAACGTTTCCTACCAAATTTTTTATACCTATATAATCTCTAAAAAAATTTCTAATCTTCAATTTTAATAATATAGTTGTAATGTGCTATGTTAGTTGATGTAACCTTACAATTAAAATTAGAAAATTTTACCAGTGAGAGCAAATAAAACGCTACTTAAAACAGTGTATACATGTAAAAAAGAAATAGTTAGGGGTCTCTTATCGCCCCTTTGGACATTACAATCGCCCACGTTGAGAAAGACTGATCTATAATATAGTCTATGTACCTATATGTAACATAGACTATATGTAAGTTAATAGATATAGCGAATTATTAAAAATATTAAAAAATGATAATGTGGCACGTGTTATACTGAATCTAATTTTGTTTCAATTTTCAATAATTAGAAAGAGAGAAGACAGTAAAGAATCATTCAAGGATCTTCAAGTGACTGTATTACTTATGTTCTTTATAATTAATAAAATAAATATGAAATATTACCAATTGTGATCTTTGATATTATATATTTGTATATATATATATATATATATATAATTTTGATTTTATATTATGTATAAAATTTTTGGATGCAACGTCATTTCAGTTTTTTATGTCCCACAAATTTGTTTTTTATTATAACACAATACTCACATGTAAAAGTACTGATATCAAAACCATCACAAACATCATACATTTATGGATCTGTTGTATGAAATGATTTATGAGATTAATAAATTTAATTATCATTATCGTCAGTTATATATAGAATAAGTAGTTAGAAATAATATTATCTTAATTGTTTACTTATTTGGTCTTTAAGTACAATAATAATATCCACTTCATTGATGATTTTTGCTGTACAAATGTTGCATTTTTAAATAATGATTGAATCGATGAGCTTAAATTTTTAATTCTATATATTGCGAATATTTTTAAAAATCAAGGTACCGCTATATTACATCGTGCTTTAGGCAAATAATTGAAATTACTGTTTTATAAATAAATATTAGATATATTATATTAATAAATAAAGTAATAAAAGGAAAATTATTTAGTGTATTTTTAATTGGATTTAGCACATTCTTTTCTAATGGTTTGTAATCAGAATTTAATGCAAAGAATTTATAAAAACTGTTATATAGAGTGAATTAATTTAGTAGGGCTATATCAAATATTTTATCATCTTTGATCAAATATCTTATCATTCATCTCATCATTCATTCATTATCTCATCAAATATCTTATCATTATCAATTGGTAATATTCGCACTTTTTAATTAGATCCTAATTCTTTACTTAGATCTATTTCTGAAATATAAAAAATATATTATACATTTTTTGTTTGATTTGTGATTCATTCCAATAATGCGTACAATATATTATTTGCAAATGAAGTAACTTTGCAAATAAATAATAATAGAAAAGTAACTTTCTATGTAAAAAAGGAATTGAGGCGCATAAAATGATTCATAAATTGATGAAGAAATTCATTTTATTTATGGAATTTGGAAGATTGAGTTTGCTTTTAATGCTGCTTTGAAATTAGACTATCAAATTTAAAAACCAAAAGAAAAGAATTGTGATGCAATATATAGTATTAAATAAAGGTTATCTGAGTTCATCTAGACAACTGCGTTTTGAAAATACTTGTTGACAATATAGATTTACATATCTGTCGTCCTTACAATGTGTGATGGATGTAAGATTTATTACATAAAGATTATTTTATTTGAATATTTTAATGATTGTGCAATATCTACATCAATTAAACTGATTCTAATGTTTGCAAAACTAATATATGCAATATTTTGAAGTAAGTATTATTCTGAAAGAAAATTGAGTAAAAGTTCGATATTATTGTGAAGTATTTCTCTTTTGTATTATATACACTGGTTGTGCGCCCTAAATATTTAACAATATTTGTTTTTTTTTAATGTTAACGTGGATTTCTGCTCGTGTAATTTCGTATTTTTAACGCCCGGAACCCGCAGTTAGTTTATAGTGGTTATTATTATTACTGTATGCAATAAAATGAATTGTGCATATAGTGAACCCATTGAATTGTAATCAAATATTTAAATCTGTGTTACTTTTTAAATTACAATTTATATTTATTATACATTTTAACAACTTTCATTGATAGTTAAGTGTGAACTTTTGATGAACTTATTTTTTACTAAGTTCTATTTGATCGTGAATATATAGTACGATTAACACTTCATAACTTTACCTTAACGGAATAATGAATAATCTTCATAATATGAATAATTTTAATATGACATCTTTCAGCTTGATGTCTTCTAAAAATAGTATAGGGTAGGGCGGGGCACAAAAGTCTAATTTAACTTTGTGCAATTATATCGTGAAAACCAAACTAATTATATTACAACAAATAACACATATCAAACAACTATCTGAATATATTCAGTAAAACCCAGCTAATTATCAGTCCCAGAAATGTGTCTTTTGCTATTTTTCAAAATCTTGTAACCTGGTCCTTTTCGCCCCATATTCGGGGTAAATTCAGACGACCAAGACGCAAACAGATCCAGCATCTTTTTTCAATTTTAAAGGGGTTTCACAAAATAATAGCTAGATTATTCAAGCATTGCAAAATAAAAATTTTATGGGTGCATTTTTTACAGATGACATTTTAAATAACCTTGATCTGGCATTTTGTCATAAATATTTATCAGCAGAGTTAGAATAACTATTAATAATTAATTTACTTTTATTTGCTATATTTTATTTTTCACACATATGCTAAAGTAAAGTTTCAATTGGTCCTTTCTACTCCACCGCAGATGTAAGCTTTGTAGAGGTTATATAGAAAAAACTGTTGAATCTAACTTAAAATTGACAATATATGTTATAAAAACAATTGAATAACGTATATTTAAAAATATTAAGGTGTCGTAAACTAAGCAACAGTTCTCACAACCGAAAAAACTAACAACGAAAGAAAATACGTTTGTTATGGATTTTCAAACATGTTCATTTATCTCCGAATCAAGGTGATGGCTGCTTAGATATCTTTTGCCTTCAACTTTTAAATATTGTTGTCAAATAATTCTGAACTTGACTGGTTTTTGAGATATCGATGGTGGACCGTTTTACATGCGGACCTTTAAGCCTTTCACTCTCTATCTACGTAAGGATTAGAGAAACATTGTTGAACAGGTTAAAGTGATTAACTTTTTATTGAAAATATAATTATTTCTAATTAACCCTCATCACAAAATATTATTTATAGCTAGTTTTAATAATATTATTATAATCAAATAATAAATAACGTTCAATTATTGAACTCTTCACTTCTTGTAATACACAAAAAAACATAAAATAGGATTTACGTTATTCAATGATATATAATTTAAATTCTTATAAAAATATTTTCTAATTATATATATATATATATATGTAAACACATCTATCAATTATTGTGCATATTCTCATGTTATATTTGTGTAGGTACATACATATATATATATATATATATATATATATATATATATATACAATTTTTAGTTTTGGAATTTGTTTTAATTTATATTTTCATGTATATGAAATTTCATGAAAAAACACAATTATTTTGTTTTGGTATCAATTTTATATGATAATAAGTTAAGAAAAACCCTTCAGTTGTGTCAATCAATGCCCGATATTTTTATACATATGATAGTACCTAAAATTACATTTATCACTATAGAACCAATTTTCAGATTTGATCAAGAAGTATGTGGGTCTTAAGTGTGTAAGAATCTAATTATTGACAATTTTTACTATTCATACTAAAAATAAGTGCCATATAAGTACATGCATATTGTATATTTGGGGAACGAATAAGTTTAGATGTTTGTCCCCGATACATGCGGCGCACCTGCCAGCGTGCAAACAATATCCGTTTGCGGTCAATTGTCTTCGGGCTCTTGAGATTCAAGCAGGTCGTGATTTCTACGCTCGCCGAACTTAGACCAGAAAGTGACCTTGCATTTGGTGCTGCGACCGGTTTTCTGATTGAATACGCTGCACGAGTCGAACGGCGGGCAATAAAGGTGCAGACTGACTGCGGCGTCCGCGTGGCTAGGATTCTCTACGCGATGGAGGCCCAGCGCGTCGCTCATGTAACAGACGCTGTTGTGCTCCAAAGTGGTGCGCTTGATCTCCCGCAACTCGGATTCGGCTGCATTCGCATCTGGCCACGCGTAGCGCACCTCATGTAGCTGCCCTTGGAGCACCTGCAACAGGAACAATTTGCCTTTTCTGACCTCTCATTACATCAAGATTATTATTTGACATTGCACAGGCACAAGGATAATGTGCTCTATATTAACAGATGTCTGAGATAATAGGTTTACTTATAATAACACATTTGTAGTAGTAAGGTGACCATATTTTTATGAAGTCAAAACCGGGACGGTAATTTTTAATTATGCTAATCCGCGACGGCGGTGGGGGGGATGTGCCAAAAAACTTAAATTTGAATTCAAAATAGCAAATACTATGCAATGAAAGTTTTTTTAATTAATATTTTTTTAATTGGAATTATTGACTTTTGGTAAGAATCTATTATTTTAAATGATGGACATGCGTTAGGAATACTACAAGGAGAAAATAATAACTTTGGTGCAGAATAAAATATACATTAGAATTTGATTTTAGTGAAACTTCTCGGTGCAACGTTCCATTTAAAAAGCACATGCGACACGACCACCGCGATTATAATTATTTTATAACCATAAAAAATTGTATACATATTTGCTTCAAATTCAAAGTTAAAGTCATTTTAATTTGACCAAGTTTCAAAAATACACCAATTTTCTTAACATTCGAAATTCACTCATAACTCTTTGCAAATGTGTTGGATTAACTGTAATGTTTTATCTTGAATACTTACTTCATTATCGACAAAAGCTGGATATGCATAAACACAAAGGACATATCTATTTTTTATCGAAAATTTAATTCACTTATGACTATTAGTTTTCAATTTTTGAACAACGTTGATGCGATAAAAATATTAATATGTCAATAATGTAATCTATGGTAATAAATATCATTTTATAGTTAATTGAAACGAACATTCAAACGAGCGTATAAATATATTCCTTTGACTTTTGGACCGTTTTTTTCTGATATGATAAACATTCCATGGGCTAATTATTATCATGTAAGTTGCAATTATGCGGTACACATGCTTAGATCTTTGATAATACATAATAGATTAGATTAATATTAATATTCATATCATTCATGGATAGTTGTTCTAATTAAAAATTATGATAGAGGTGACTTTTTTCACATATTTTTTAATAATGAATTTAAATTAATATTATGAGAATATTAATAACTTTGATTCGTCTTGGCCGATGGTAATATATTTTAGGGGTTGTTATTGTGATAACTACTGATGAGCCATATAACTTGAATATTTTATCGGAGCGATTTATTGGAAATGAGATCAATGCGGCAAAACCGCGGTATAATCTCATAAATGTGAAAGTAAGTAATCATACCTTCATAAAGCAATGGGCATCTGCGTGATCATGTACTGCTGATCCCTGTCCCTCGCCCCAGCATAATACCATTAGGTTGAAACGTCCATTTCCTGCGTCCACCAGATTGCGAGTGTAACGGTAACGATCAAATTTGGCATACCGCCTCCACTCGGCTGGATCCGACTTGTAGCTCAGCATCAGATGATTGACCAACTCGATGTCTACATCATCTTCAGCAAATGCTTCGTGCAACTGTTCAACTAGATCTTTTAGAGAAGTAACACCTTGGTACGTTTTCAAAGGCTTCTCCAGTCCAGCGAAAGTCTCACGTGAATCCGTTTGGATTTGAGACATGATTTAGCACACCTTTGGATATCTAGATTTGTTTAAATATAAAATAGTTAAATCGCTGTTTGCTCGTATTTAGAAAATAAATCTTGATTAACACTGATTAAAAAATCCTTTGTGATCACTAGGAGATGAGTTGTTGTCTCTGGAAACGTTTGGAACTAACTGACGGATTTGCGGCGTGAGTGCTTTACATACAGCGCCTAACAGCAGTACACACGGATCATGTCATAAGATAATATGCCACGGTTAAAGGTTATGTGTACTGTAGATTCTCCAAACAGAAACTTGACAAAAAGATAAAATATATTGACGTTGTTTATTAGAGGGGCTGATTGCCGCTCGTGCCACCTAACTTAATGTATTGCCATAATTTCTGCAAATGATTTTATATAGAGAACAACGCCTTAACTAAAACTGATGCATTTCGCAATAACACGTGATACATGGTGAAGGTGAATGTAAATAATATACAATTACATACACAGCACTTAGTTTTTTTGTTGTTATTGATGATATATATATATGGTAATAAAGTATTTTGTATTGAATGCACTTTGACGTTAGTCAGATACGTAAACAAATTTGAGCGACATGTATGTGGTATTTCTTAATTTCCGTTATTAGATTCTTATTACACACATACAAACACATATATTTATCGTATTTTTGAAACTTAGTAAAATTGAAGTGACTTTAAGTTAAGCATTGAATTTGAAGCAAATATGTATACTATTTTTTGTGGTTAAGAGTATAACTTTTCTGTGATCAAGTATTAGAAGTTTATCTAAGACGCTTCATCATTACTATGAAATCTTGCCAAATATGTTTATTACTTCCTGAGCTGTAGAACATTCTACTTTGAGAACATTTCCACAAGGTATTGAATCCCAAAAAATAATTGAGTAAAAATATTTTGTTCTTCTACAGTTTTACATCACATTTATAATGACTGGAAAGTAACAATAGAATTACTCTACTATTGTATATGCTAGTAACTTTATATAGCTTTCTTTACAAATACGTAAATAACGGATTATTTGGAAACTGTAGTGGGTAACTTGTATGAATATGAGCTCTTCTAAGGTGCAAGGATTAATCGCGAGAAAAATGTGTTCAATCGTTCAATAATTGTTCATTATAATAAAGCTTGTAAGCAAACTGACCTTCTTTGAATCTGTCAATCCCATGCATGAGAATTTTAGTGAATGGAAAAATGCAATATTCATTATAATTATTTGGAATCGAACCGAATCGAGTTAGATAAATTATCGTTGATTATTCAAAATAATCTTTTTTTTTAATAATTGAATTTGAATCGAGAGCTATCTCTGAAATCAGTGTTATTGATAGACATAAAATTAATTTAATGTTTGTACATGATGAATGTATCTATAGAGATAAGGTATTTAAATTACTTATTTATCAGAGCAGTTAAAAATTCTATGATTTGTACTCACATGCATGTATGCATCACACACACATATATATATATATATATATATATATATTAGGGTGGTTCTTAATATGGATGTTTTCGAATTTCCTTGCTCCCAGGTGCTCAAATGCTTCCAAATTGATGAAAACATTCTTGGTTCTTCTTACTAAGTAAATACTTATTTTATGAAATATATCAAATTTATATTGTAATTTTTTTTATTTATGATCATAATGGACAAATACAATGTTATTTTTAAAGTTTTGATTCACTTGTCGCTAAGTGATAAAACAAATGCAATTTTACCCATGTTACTTCCATAAGAAACTTTGTTTGGAGTGCGGACTATCTTAAAGTCAATATTAAGAGCTAAAACTTTCAGAGATTTTTTTTATAAAATTGGAAGTTTTTGAGCCCTTTTGGAAGCATCAATTTCGGAGCACGGAAATTCGAAAACATCCATATTAAAGACCACCCTATTATATATATATATATATATATATATATATATATATATATTAGGGTGGTCCTTAAAATGGTCATTTTTGAATTTCCTTGCTCCCAGGGGCACAAATGGTTCCAAATAGATAAAAAACAATTCTCTGAAAGTTTTATCTATTAATATTAACGTTTAGATAGAGCGCAATTCTTTCAAACTGTTTAATTGTTTTTTATGAATTTGGAACCATTTGAGCCCCTGGGAGCAAGGAAATTCGAAAATGACTATTCCAAGGACCACCCTAATATATACAATACCAACTAAAAAATCTTGACGTATCTTAACCAATACCTTTGGTATTGCATAGATATTTTTGTATTTATGTGTGTCTGTAGGTGCATATGTATAAATAATATGTTTTTAGATATATTAGCAGATGTGTGTATAAGATGCATATGCATCTAATATGTGTACATGATGATTGATATGTTTAATATCTTGATCCCCGCGAATGATGATTTGAAATTATTTTAATACAATAAAATTAATGACGATGATCGTGCAATATTGCTTATATTTGTATAAAATATTTAATCCGTTACTGATTTAAATCACAATTAATGAAAATTTATCATATTGTGACTCTCAAATCCAAAATCAAAGCGATAATTTCAACGATAATCAAAAATCACATGACAAAAATATTTGACGCGCATAATAGATCTGATTGATAACATTTTTGTTGTTGTTAAATATCAATTTGTATCTGAATTAAAAACACGATGTTTTTACACCAGAAAAATGTAATCTCGTAAGCCATCTTCTTATTCTTAGAAGGGTTTTGATTAGTTTCATGTATTCACAGCGTTTCAAGTTACCTGTAACGCTATATGTTGTTGAAAACATAAATTTGAAGAACATAACCAACCGAATTTTGAGTTACATAGTAAATCATTTTTATAATGACTGAAATATGTGTTTTTACAAATAATCAAATCAGCTTACATATTTAGGTGCACTTTGTTAAAAACTCTATTTAAGCAGTATCACTTGTTTATAAAATCAAATAGTTCTTAATACTCTAATTGTCACTAATTACGAAGTCGTGCGTTCGCATTTGGCACAAATAACAGTACATGATTGATCGTATACTCACACTTTAATTACTATATGAAGATTTTCTTCGGTATTGTATATAAAAATATTATCGAAATGCGTATTAACGATAGTCTATGACTGATAGAACTAAAATTTTCATGAATTATTTCGACGAATTTTACGCGCTAGCAAAAAATTGTTTATGGCAACTTATCACATAACAGTAAATATTGTATTGATGAAGAATGATAAAGAATTTTATCGTATTGTTTAGGAATGTATAAAGCTTTGACGATCGCAGTTTGAATATGGCTTTTAACACAAATAATAAATATTTGCACATTAAGCAAATATTCAATGGGAATGAGCAAACACGAGTGTCATTCTTTTCACTGCATCTGGTTGTCTTATTGTTGGATCTATTGTAAATAAAATATCATCATATTATTTGTACTATTTTTTACTTCTAGCTTTATTATACTTTACGTCACTAGAATCTGAAGTTTTTATTAATGTGATGTGTTTTTTTTTTTAATTTTATTCGCTACAGATTACTTTATAACTTCAGCTCTTCTGTGTATTTTTTTATATAAGGTTGTCAAATACCTCCCTTCTGCCTTTTTGTATTATAAACCAAGTGCAAAAAAGCGGAAGGGAGATATTTGACAACCTGTATATTGTATATTAAAAAAAAAAGAGTTTTAATGATTGGGTGTTACATCAGTGAAAAAATATGGTTTACTTATTTTGGATCATGAAAAATCCAAAAGTTTTGTATAGAGTTCTAGGAAACTTTCATTCTGAAAAAAGTAACTAATTAATCCAATAATAAGTAAATGAACAATAATATGCTAAATAACAGCTCTTAAACACAATTTGATATTAACGTATAGGTAAATAACCTGACACTATTAAACTTTACTGGGGTGCATATTCTTTTATCATGGACTACTAGAAATAGGTTTTGGTTTGGTTTTTCTCTGAACAGACTAGGACTTATACGGTACAAAATGTGTACTTCAAATCAAAATCTCTACAAAGTATCTGATAATTCGATATGCATTTATCTAATCATTGTTTTCACCGCCAAATGGCACTTTTTTAAAACTGTTTTCATTGGATCTCCGAAATCGCTGGACCTGTCTTCCCAAAAATTTAACTAATTTTTCAGTCCGTCAACACAAGCGAATTTTTTTTTTAAATTATTGAAATCGGACGCTCTGTTCTCTTAAAAACTGAGTTACCGTTTTTGGAACTTTTTGCCCCATATCTTTGGAACGGTTAGACCTGCCTTTTTGTATTAACTTGTATTAACAAGATGAAGAACTGATCAAATTTTCATGAAGGCAGGTCTAGCGGTTTCGGAGATCTAGTGAAAAAAGTAAAAAAATGCCACCTGGCGGTCAAAATTGTTAATTAGACATATGCACATCAAATTATCAGATATTTTATAGACATTTTAACAATAAGTATAAATTTTGTTTACATTCCTATGGGTTCCGTACCAATGCTTATCCGTTAGACGGCGGCGCGATATTTCGGCTCTATGCAGGTAAAGCAGTACTATTGCTTTGAAAAAAAGTTCAGAATTTCCAAAATATTTCAAAACATACTTTTCTTCAAAAAGTCTTCTGTTAAAAAAAAAGTAAATTTTTGTCAAAAATTTATAGTTTCTTAAAAATCTAATTTTTCAGAATAATTTTTTTTTTTAAATGTTAATCTTTTAAAAAAAAATTTTTTTGGTACGGTAAGTTCCAGCAATTTGCCTTAAGGCACATTGTCATGCGCCCCACTAGTTTTCATAATAATTTGCATCTTTTTTTTCTTGAAATTCAATGAAATATTGCAATTCGTACTAGCATTTCATTGCAACGTACACCTCATTCCAGCATAAAAATCAAAATTCGAAATGAAATTTAGAATTTTACTTTTTGGTGAGACTAAATTAAATATCAGTAGAGTACTTTAATAGTGCGTTAAAGAGTATAAAACTTATGAAGGACTCTAGAAATTTGTTTTATTTGTGTTATTAGGCAAGCAACGATAAAGTTTAAAAGCTCTGCTGGTGGTTTTCTTAAGTTGTGAAGATGATTTGATTTTTATTACATGATTGAATAAAAAAGAATGACTTACAGCGTATTGGACCGCGAACTCTAAACTTTTCGCAGTTTTTCATAAATATTATTTTCGATTCGGCACAACAAAATTTAATGAAGGTAAAAATAAATTTGCCGGTATAACCCACTTTGCACGTTATTATAAAAGTTAATAGCGCATCTGTTAAATACAACGGTAGTACATAGTGACACGAATGAATGATTGCTTCCTTACCGTTACCTTTCCAATGGTTAGATGCTCGTTTTT